TTCAAAATTTTGGGTAAGGACCTGTATGGGACCCAATATCAAGTAGACGATGACACGTCAGTAGTAGTGACTATACAATTCTACTATTTTGCTACGAGATTTTCATCCATCGGATCATAGTATTTATGGAAGTTTAATGGTCACGATCTCTTAAACTTGACATCTGCGACGCAGAGGATTTTTACCGCCCTCTAGAGTCTCTGATAAAACGCCGTCGTTTCCTTGTCACGGTTTAGTTTAAAACGGCATAAAATTACAAAGATTTTCAAATCTTGATTAACATAAGATTAGATAGAAACATTATGAACATGAACATATACTGATTCACAATACAAGCCAACCAAGATAAACGTAAAGACCTTTTTTTCAGAAAGTAAAGATAAACGTAAAGATGAAAACCAAACCTATTATTACAAAAGGAGAGGCAAACATACAAATCTTGATCTTATTATAAATTTGTTCACGAGTGATAAAGCGTTGGTACGAGCTCAAGAGGGACTTTCTTGGCGATGTTTATCGTTCCAACTTCTTCCATGTCAATGTCTTCAATGTTCATTCCATCTGGCAAACCCCAGTTGAAGAAATAAAGAAGATCAAGAAGGCATAGCTCGACAATGGTGATCCCCAAAGCCATCCCGGGACAGCTTCTACGGCCAGCTCCAAAGGGCAAGAGCTCGAAATTCTGACCTTTGTAGTTGATGGATGTATTGAAAAACCTCTCAGGAATAAATTCTTCGGGGTTAGTCCAACATTTTGGATCACGTCCTATCGCGTAAGTGTTGACTTGTATCATTGTGTTCTTGGGAATGCTGTAGCCTTGAATCTTGATTTCGGACATTGTTAGTCTTGGGAGCAAGAGAGGAGCTGGTGGGTGTAATCTGAATGTTTCCTCGATTACAAACTTTAAGTACTCAATTCTGTCTAGATCTTCTTCTGTGATTTTCTCTTTGTTGGGTCCGAGTGTTGCTCGAATCTCTTCTTGGAGTTTCTTCATCACTCTCGGATGTCTAATTAGCTCTGTCATCGTCCATATCATAGTGATAACTCCCGCGTTCACTCCCGCCAAAAACACATCCTAAACAAATGACATAATTAGTAAGTTAGGAAACTAGATGTGTATCTTGTGAAACAAATTAAATACAAAAAGTATATATGGATTATCAAAACAAAATGTTTTTCTATAACCCTATTTTACTTGCTCTTTAATTAAACTATAAACTCGTTTTTCAAATTATCTCCAATATAAAACTATTAAGATTTGTACTAATTATGAGATTATTCGCACTCACTGACATGACTCCTTTGAGATGATCCGAAGTGATTTTGAAAGAACCGTATTTGGTGGGTTTATTGATCATATCCAACATGGCACTAACTAGGTCTGAGTGATCTTGGTGTTGTTCTGTCTTCAAATGATCATCAATCACATGTTGAAAGAAATTTGAAAGTTTGGTAAAGACTTTTATCATCCTCGAGTGCTGACCAGAGATCCGGTCCATAAGCCATCCGAGACCCGTGGGGAAGAAGTCAGTAAATGCCAAGGTGCCTACGTTGCTCTCTGACTCTACCACGAGCTCTTCGACTCTCTCCATATCGATGAAATCGCAGTCGCGGAAGTTCTGTCCAAAGGCGAGCCTAAATATGATACCTCCGGTGAAGGAGAAAAGGGCTTTATCCAAATCCACCAAGGTTTGTGTTTGAGCAGATTCTGATAATTTCTTGAGCAGCATGTCACTCTCTTCCGCTCTGATACACTTGAAAGACTTTTGTTTTTTAGGACTAAAGAGCTCGAGCCCCACGAGCTTTTTCATCTCTCGCCAGTCCTCGCCATACTGAGTGAAACCAATGTCTTTGAAATTGTAAGTAAACAACCCGGTCGCGACCATCTTAGGTCGGGTGCAAGTCTCTAGGTCATGAGTCTTTAGAACTTCTTTAGCTGCTTCTTTAGAGGAGAGCACGACCACAGGGACGACCCCGAAATGGAGAAGCATGACTGGTCCATGTTCTAAGGAGAGTTTGTGAAGAGATCTATGAAGAAATCTTCCTAACTGGTGTAAGTTTCCTATGATCGGAAGACCCATTGGTCCTGGAGGAAGCTTCCCTTTCGATGATGAAAGCTCTTTAAAGAATAATAAAGAGAGAGGGAAGAGAAAGATCAGGAAACAAAGGAAAATAGACATTTTTCTAGGGTTTTCTTTTCTTCTCTGTGTGGAGTGAACAAGATCACTTGCGCAATATATAGGCATTGCATGTTTGTTAGGGTTTAACTAAATCATAGCTTTCGTTAATCATTTATTTGAATTAAGGAAATTTTCTCAAAGGCATATCTTGTAGCTTTGTGTGATGGGTGGAGAAGGAGAAGCCCAAAAGAACAGAGTTTAGATATAAAGCCCTCTCTCTAACCAAATCGACAACATAACGTGGCAATCAACAAATCTAAACATTTTTCTGTGGAACTGGTTCGTGTAACCACCAAAGTCCAAACTAGTTAGGTTTAATATGGAAATTAACCAAAGGAAAAATCATTTGCCACACCAGCTTATAAATCTTGACTGAACTGATGGTCAAACCAGATTCGATCGTGAACCAAATTGGTGACTTAGGAGTTAGGATTTTTGGTTTTATAAGTTTCTGATCGAACACCTTTTTTGAACTATCAATGATCCAAACGAACTAATTAATTGATCGTTCAAATAGTTTCTCTAAATTTATTGTAAACTATCTTCTTGATTTGACACTTTCACATTTTAATCCCATAAATTGAAAAAAGAAAAAAGAGGCTATTTTTCATGGAAGAAATTGAAAATGTGTCTTTTGAGCGACTTTAGAAAGTCATTTTGAGGCTCAATTTTAGAGTTTTGTAGGGTTTGATCAGAATACTTTAATTTGAGGTTTAAGTTTTATTTGTCTTTTTCCTCTAGAAGACCACATCTGGAAATTATTGTTACTCTCTAGTCTAGAATCTACACGTTGAAATATGGGGTAGTCAAGGAAAACATGCGTTGTGAAAGATATCCCACTTTTTTTGTCAGAACTTTTTTGGAATACTTTATTTATCAATCCATGCATTGTCACTTAACCATTTTTACTTTTGGGGTGTTTTGCAACAATAACAAAAAAAATATATATATTTGTAATGTAATTAAAATAGCATGATGTGGAGAAATGGAAGTCATTAAATTAAAATCATTTGGTTAGTTTGTGAAATATAATTTTTTAAAGGTTTTTTTAGCCAATTTCCCTTTACTTTTGATGTCAACTTGATCTATAGGTTTTTTTGGGGGGAAATTGTGCAATAACCAAGAAAAAAACAATAACTAAATACTCTAACAAATTGCCAAATTATAAAAATTTTGCTATATATGCCAATTTTGATTAGTTACATAATTATTAAAAAAATTTGATTAATAAACAAATTAACCCTTTTTTATCTTTTGAAGTGCATGCATGTTGTGTCAAAGAGTCAATTTATAATGCATGCATGTAGTTAGGCTTTTCTACTAAAAAAATGGTTGTGTATTAATTTTATAATACATATTATTATTATATCAGAGGACCTGAAGTAATTAAGGCAAGTTTCTGGACGCATATCTTGAGGAGAAGGAGAAGTCCCAAAAAACACAGTTTAGAACTTTAGATATAAAGACCTCTCTCTAACCAAACCGGCCGGTAACATAACGTGGAAAAAATCTATAATATTTTTTTGGTGGAACTGGTTCGTGTAACCACCAGACATTTTTTGTGGATCTTAAACGAACTAATTGACCTAACTCAATTTAGAACTTATCGTAATTTTAAACCACTGAAAATACCCTTCGAATTTATCAGGTTTATCAATATTTTCACTAAATTTTATTAATTTTCTACCAAATCATGTAGGGCCGTTTATTCTAATACCAAATCATGCATAGCACCGGAAAATCATATTATTTTATCTATTATTATTTTTATAAAAATATATTTTAATATAATTATAAATTTACTACGTAGGAATAAATTATGGTGAGAGGATTAAGAATAACTCATATTCCAAATACTGTTAAATAGATTTATCAATTTGATTCTATAGACACTCATATCAACTCGTCGGAGATTGTTTCTTTCACCAACAAAATCATTGGAATTTATAAAGGATATAAGCTTAGTATAGCTTTCCCGTTACAAAACGTATCTCACGGTTCTTAATATGGTTTCATCCTCAGTTTGTTAGAAAACACTTAAACAAAAACAAAACTTGTTTAAAAAACCAACATCAACAAAAAAATAATTTTGGTATTGTTAATGGAATATATAAATAGTTTTGGGGGTCGTAACTTGCAACTAACTTCTCTGCTTCCCAATATTTTAGGAAATTTGAATGAAAGAGATGGTGGGATAATAGAGATAGATAATTGTTTCGGAAAAATTTAACCAGGTTCGCAAGTACACAGATCTACGGAATGATAGGGAGAAGTATAGCTTTATTAATCAAGGAAGTAGGCTTATTACAACGTTTAGATGTTTAAAGCGTTATAAAGATATTTGTTGGATGTGGAAAACAAGGCTAGATCTCTGGTTGCTATCGCTGGGATGCTATGAAGATGTAGCTCTTAGGTTTTCTCTGTGTATTTTTCGATGATCCTTCAGGTTCTTCCTCCTCCTCTATTTATAAGGATCCCGTTTTGATATCCTTCTTCGCGTGGATGTAGGAACCGACTTCGTGATTCTCTTAGAATCNNGANTCTTTCATTGTAATCTCTTTGTAGATAGGTTTCCCCTATCCCGCAATAATCGCAGTAACCTATATCCGCAGTATACGCTTTATGCAGGCTCTGTTTATCTGTATCATGCATTATCTGCATGAACCATTAACTTTTGCAGTATGGGCTTCGGATTCATAATGGACTTGACCCAAATGAATAAATTATTCCCAACAACTTGCCCCCCACTCTTCAGTTTTTATTCTAAAAATTTTAAGAGTAGTAAGACTTACCGTTTAAACGATTGTGAATTAAACCTTGAATNTCCTCACATTACTATGAGNAATATTTAATTATCCATGACTTGGTGTNCATAACACCATCACAATAATATTAATTTTTGGACCCATAGTCATGATTCTAACGTGGGCTTTACCTTTTTAGTGGCCCATTAGTTTTTTATGCAAAACATTTTGTTGTCACTTTACTCTTTTTGCTTTGTCGATAACCTTATCCTCTTCTTCCTCACATGACTGACATCGAATCTCCCTTTTTTTTTAATTTTCTGAAGAAATTTTGCAACTCATCAAATCTTTCTTTTTCTTTTCTTAACTTGACATGATAAGCTGAGTTTTCATCGATTCCGGTGGTTCGGTAATGATAGATAACATGACTATCTTCTTAGATATATCAGCTTTGAACCTCTTTTTTTTATTGCGATGATTTGTCATCTCTTGATTTTGGAAGCTTTGCTTTAACAAGCTCCTTTGTGAAGACCGTAGTCTATGAATTTGCAATCACCGCTTTTATTTGACGTGCTGGTGTGTTTGCTTNAATAAATTTGATCTTTTCAATCATTATTTGAGGCGTCCCTCATATTTTATTGTAGCCATAGCCATTAATGTATGCTTCTTTGCATTATGTGATATTAGGATTATGTCTGAAAATTTGATATAACTTTGACTAATAAGATCAAATTTACAACGTTTTTAGGGTCATGCCCAATAATTTTTCGTGATGAATGCTACATGGTTGTAGCAGTCATCGAGATTTACATGCTACTTTGGCATGATGCGACATTTAGATCTACCCTGGCATGTTGCGAGATTTACATGCTACCTTGGCATGATGCGAAATTTACATGCTACCTTGGCATGATGCGACATTTACATGCTACCTTGGCATGATGCGACATTTACATGCTACTGCTACCTTGGCATGATGAAAAATTTATATGCTACCTTGGCATGATGCGACATTCATATGCTACCTTGGCACGATGTAACATTTTATGTCGCTGAACCGGGATGCAACATGTCGTCGTAGTAGGAAAAGTCTGCATACTGTTTTAGCATGATGTAACATCTCTTGATGCTTTTGCATGATACGCAATTTGCAAGTAGGTTGAACATTTCGACCTTTGATCTTGATAGAATGGTTTTCATCCAAAAACAGAAGTCCAAGCGACAACACTCCAACATACGTTACGTTGTCTTTCCAAAGCATCGATCAACTGACCTTGTGAATTTCACACACTTAACATGTAGAATATACTACATGCACATGATGCTAAAAATGGATGCTTGATCATTAGACTAGTAAGCGCATACGACGATCAATGAAGAAACGGATATGTAAGACTGCTGCGAGAACGTAAAGAACCAAAAACAAATTAATTGTAATTAAAAAAATGGCGACACTTGTCATAACAACAATTGTCAAATAACTTCTGCTTTAGTAAAATAAGATGAACGATCATTAGGTTCACCTTCTTATTCACCTACTC